GCCGGGCGCGAGGCTCTCGGGTAACAGCCCCCCGCACCGCCGGCGGGCCCGTGCCTTGGCTCCCAGGGCCACTCGGACTGAGCAGTTATTAAACTCAGCCCTAGCAGCACGCGGGTCCTGAACAGCTCATCTTTTGGCCCACTGGAGCTCACCTTGCGAGGGCAACACGGGCTCGCTTCATGAAGGAGCTAGTAGCCAGGAAAGCTTGGCGAGCGCTGCCAGGCGCAAGGGCGGAGGGCGATCCGGACCTGCTCTCAGCCCAGGGCTTGGCAGTGCGCTTCTGGTGGGCCAGGTATTTTTCTGCAATTGCCACCTCAAGTGTGCTGGGAATTGGCCACCTCTAGGCAACAGAAAGCCCCAAGTGCTCCAAAAATTCAAACCCAGTCTGTTTCTAGTTAGTTTTTTTTCAGACAGAGAGCAGCAAAATGATAAGGTCTGAGAGAGGCTGAAGCGGAAGGAGGGGAGAATGAAGATTAGTCTAGGAAAGAAAGATTTTTATTCTCTGCTAGCGACAGCTGGAGCAGCGAGGTCTCATCGTGCCCTGAGACTGCTGGTGTAAGGCGGCGGGACTCCTGCCTTGCCAGGAGTCAGGGAAAGAACAGCCCCGCTAACGCAGCCTTGAGCCAAACGAGGAGAGGTCGCTTGCGCAGCCGTTTGCAAAAGCACGCGGCAGAGGAGAGAGCAGTCGGGTTCTGGCAGGCCCCCCCTTGGCTCGTGCCCCCCAGCAATGCTGCGTGCCTGGGCCCCCGCAGAGGCGCCCACGGAAGGTGCCGTTGGCCTGGCTGCTCTGCACAGCAATTCAGCCGCTTCCACCTTTATATCGCGTTCCTCCTTTCGCCCCCGTTCTTGCTTAAAACGAGCCCCAGCCAACGCACACACATTTAGGCAGCTGGACACAATTCCTAGCAGAGAAGGGGAGATGCTGTGCTGGTCTCCACATCAAAGACCGCTTCTCCACCACTTTGTCCTGAGAGACGCCCTGCCTCGTTTTGCCCAGTTGCAGCTGCTGATCTGTCGTTTCATACCGAAAGCAAAGTCAGCGCAATCGTTCCTACGGCGCTCTCGAGTCTGGGTGGGCCTGCAGGCACCTACCTGCCCAGACCAGGCGTTTGGTACAGCACCAGAGCGCTGGCTTTGGCAGGGAACCCGAGCTCTGCCATCCCGCGCTCTCACCTTCGTATCTCAAAGCAAGCGGTGCTCCCAGCGACTGTAAAAGCGGGGTGGTTTGTGGGGTTTCGTTGCTCCCCCCAGCCTCAGCACCGCGCAGCAAGCGAGCTCAGGAGTCTGCTGGAAGCCTTTACCAAAGGCGGGTGAATGCCTACAGCCTTGCTAGCCGCACCGGTGAGGAGGCTTTCCCGAGTGCAAAGCAAACAGCCCCTTCTCCGTACCACGGAGCCCTGTGCCGCAGGGCCCGAGGGCTGAGCATCCTCGCCCCCCCTTGCACCCACTGTTCGCTCGGCGCTCTTGCCAGCGGAAGAGCTGCCGGGATTTGCAGGCGGAGATGTCTGAGCGCTGCTGCGCCCACCAAACCGCATCTCCTAGCGCGCTGACTTCACGTGCTGACTTCAGACACCGCAAAGGGGAACAAAAGGACCGAAGCTGTTACGCGTACAACACCGGGATGTAACCGAAGCCCTTACGCTTTCCGCGGGGCAGCAAGCTCCTCCGGATTGATTAGGCTATCCAGCGATCCCTCCTCCGGCTCCTGGGCCACGGCCTCCTCCTGATGTGGATTTTCTAAAGCAAAACACTTCTCTTCGGATGTTTCCCAAGCACTTTGATCCCTCTCACTTTGCAGCACAAAAAAGGTAACAGAAGACCAGATTAGCACAGAGCAGATTCCAGCAGCCGCTGCCGGTAGACGGGACGGCGGGAAGATGGGGTGTGCAGCTGGGGTGGGCGGGCAGCAAGCCGTGCTCGCCAGCGGGACCCAACACGGGGCTGCCAAAGGCACAGCAAAGCTCCAGACCCTTCCCACCCCCTCCAGCCCTGGCTAGCAGGCAGCTGGGGGTTTAAGGGGTGCCAGTCTCAAAATGCTGAATCCCTTCCCAGGATTATCCCCCTCGCTTTCCAAATCCTTGGAGAATTTCCCCAAGATAAGGCAGCCCTATTAGCAATACTCTCGCTGTTGCCCAAATTCCAGCTGGAAATAGCAGCAGGCCTGTTTGCATCTACAGCCCTACTTCTTGTCGGAAGTGCGGAGAAGGGAGGGAAGCACGAGCTGGCTTCGCAGGCGGAGAGGCTGCCCAGCTGGGAAGCAGGTACCAAGCGATAAGGAGACAATTCCTGCGGGCAGAACACATTTTTGGGGACCTTCATGTGAGCAGCGCCCCTGAGAAGATGGCTGCAGATCCCAAGTGCACGCAGGCGGTCATTAAGCTGGACCGCAGCTTCTCCTGTTCACAAGTTTTCCTGGCACAGGCAACAGCTTCTCGGTTCCCAGTGCCCCAGAGTACACGTAACTCTGCGGAGGCTAAGAGTTTTGACACGACTCATCTATAAAGGCCACACGCCGCGGCTCTCGGCGAGGGAGGGGCTCGAGAGAGCGTGGAGCTCACCGCTCAGCACAGCGCTTCAACTGCTTTAAACCACCGCCACGAACAGGCTGAGAACAGCCCTCCTAGGCACTCCAGCCCTCACCGCAACCAAGGGTCTGGAAGCCAGCACTGGGGTTTTGGGGTTACAGCTGGCGCCCTCGAGCGAGCTGGCTGCGTACCGGGACAGAAAACAGCTTGATGCTTACACCTGGCCCGGCAGGGACTTGCTCTAGGCCGCCTCCATGGAGGGAAGTGGAAGACGACTGTTCATTGCAGCCGGACCCTCCTGCCACCAGCAGGACCAGCGCGGACCGAGACCGGGGGCTGCCTCGGAACCAGAAAGGTTCTGGGCATCGGCAACGGCAGGCGGCTAAGACTTCCATGGTTAAACACCACCGGGCACAGCACACAGTGTTAACGGGTTCCGACCATCCTGGCAAAAGTGTGACTTCCAGAGCCTTAGGGAGAAGTCCGCGAGCTGTGAGGGA